TGGAGCCTACACACACACACACACACACACACACACACACACACACACACTACTGGCATGAACTGCCCTGCATGCAAGAGAGACAACAGAGAATCTACAGGGCAGAAATGGTCTGTGGGAGGCTCACACATTTATGGAGATGTATCTGTTTATCAAATGGTAGGAGGCTAAGTTCAGGGGACTTATGATTTACAGATAGGATGATTGTCCTGGGTGGACTTGGACTAGAGAGCTAAAGATAACATAGAGTAGGGAAAACAAGACTTCAATTTTATCAAAGGCTCCAGAAGAATAGAACTTTAGAAGAAAAGAATTAAATCAAAGGCACTTAAATAAGAAGGAAAAAGTGGTACAAGCTGACAGGGGTCTTGGTCTTTATCTGAGAGACCCTGGGAATATCCTGAATGGCTTTCTAAAGATCTTCACAAGATCAGACCTGTGATTTTAAGGGGGTAACCTGAGTATAGTATGGACAGAGGTGGCACACTGACCATATGAAAGGAAGCCAGCAGGGTACCTGCTACAGTTGTCCAGATGAAGTGGGAACACAGACTGACTGATGGCTACAGAGAAAGGGGCCTGGCCGTGATGTGAACCTCAACAGATATGCTCGAAGGCTGTAGAATGAGAGAAGAGACAAACGGGGTTTTCCTAGAAAGTTTACTTTCAAAGAGGGATATATCATCTCACTACACTAAATGCAATATTCATTCCACTAGTGGTCGCCAGAGGCTGCACATAGAGTATGGGGCCTGATTTGTGTTTGTGCAACTAGATAAAGTCAAGAGCAGATGACAACAGAAAAATCACTTGCAGGGGACTGGGAGATGGGTCAGGGATTAAAGCATTTGCTGTGAAAGCATGAGCACTAGGGTTTTGATCCCCACAACCCATGGGGATCAGTGGGCACAGATGCCTACTTATAATTCTTGTTTGGGAAGGTGGGGATAGGGGATCCCTAGAGCAGGACTAGCCACATCAATGAGCTCCAGGTTCAACTGAGAAAACCTGCCACAATGGGTAAAGTAGAAGAGTGCTCAGGGATAATTATGGACATCCACCTTGTGACTCCACATGTACGTGTATACATGTTTGCATACACATGTACACACAGACATACACCTACATATTCAAGCACAAATACATCAATATCCTTAAAGAGTTCTTACAGGCTGGATTTGGTACAGGACCTGTAATTTTTGTATTTGGGAAGCTGAAGCAAGGATGTCAAGTTTGGGGCTAGCCTGGATTCTGGACAACTGAGGGAGAGTCTTAAAAAAAAAAAAAAAGTACAAGAAGAACTTATAGCTCATATAGCCCACTAGTAGAACACTTTTAGAGTCTATGTGCCCAGTAACACACACACACACACACACACACACACACACACACACACACACACACACACACCGTGCTCGAACTCTCAGAAGCACACAAAACTATAAACATTAAATCAGACTCAGAAGTAACAAATATGTGTATTTCTAGAATGCTAACTGTACTTTACTTTAGAACTAACAGTACCAGATGCAATCCAAATTCCACCAATAAATTAAGATCACCAGTATTTAATAGAATACTTTGTAGTCATCAAAATAGCCATGTAGACCTGGAATAAGTCAAAACAATCTTGAAAAAGAGTAACAAATTACAAGACTTAAGCTTTCTGATTTCAAAACTTACCACAAAGCTATAGTATATCAAGAGGCTGTACAACTGGCACCAGAGACAGATACAAACAACTGAATCAGAATAGAAAGCTCAGAAATAAACCAGCATCAACGTTCAAATGATTAGTAATCAAAAGATTACTAAGCCCATTCAATGTGAAAAGTAGTCTCTTAACAAATGATACTAAGGAAACTATACATCCACATGGAATGAGTTTTAACTTTAACTCAAATGGGATCAAGTTCCTAAATAAAACAATTTTTAAAGTTCCATAGAACTTCTGTTTTTAGAGGAAAAGTTTCACAAAACAGGACTTGGCAATGACTTCCATAGGCATAACATCACAGCATCGGCAACAAAAGAAGTGGCATTTTGGCTTTAGCACATTCAAAACCATCTATACACCAAGGTAAACCTTCAAGAGATGGAAAAGACAAACCAATGAATTTGGGAAATATTTCTTAATTACATAGTCAATAAGGAATTAACATGCATAAAAATATGCAAAGGCTCTCAAACAACAACCTTTGCCCCACAAAAAATCCCAGTTAAAAAATTAACTAGGCATATATTCATTTCTCCAAGAAGATGTACCAATAGCCAATGAATATATGAAAAGATGGCTGGCATCACTAATAACTAGGGAAATAGCAAAGCAACAACAAAACAATCCACAATTATAGATTGCTTTATATCTATTAAGATGGTTATTACCAAAATATCAGAAAATAAGGTTTGGCAATGATGTAAAGCAAATGGAACCCTCATAGTGGTGAGGGTGTAAAATGATACAGTCATGGTGGCAAGCGATATGTTAGTATCTCAAGAACAAAATCAAAAGAATTAACCCCATGATCCAGACATTTCTAAGTGTATATTCAAAAGAGCCAAAAATCTTGGAAAGGTTTGTATACCAGTGTCTGCAACAATATTGTTCATAACAGTCAATGCATGGAAACAATTCATCAGTAGATGAATGAACAGGCAACGTGACAGCCACTGGAAGATTACAAAAGACCTGAAATTCTGATAAATGTAACTGTAAGAATGCTGAAGATGCAAGTGTAAGGGAAATAAGCCAGAAGATAAAATGACAAATATTATATGACTCCTCTCATGTGAGATACTGACAGTAGTAAGAACAATAGTGACAAAGGAAGACCTCAATTACCAGGGTGGCAGGCTAGAGGATGAAGACACATTATTCATGGATGTAAAGTTCCAGAATAGACAGCAGGAAAACTGTACAAAAATGTAGTATATTTATGCTACCAAAAGTGTACACCTGAAAGTTGTGAAATAGTAAATTTATCTGCACTTTACAACAATAGATTTTTTAAATGATGATATAAGAAATTATTTTTACAATATATTAGGTGGGGGGAGGTTACAAAATTGTGTACACAATAAGATCACTTTGTTTAAAAAGCAACAAACCTTCCCCTCACACAAACCCGAGGACATTTTCCTGACATCTTGAGACCAGAACTGTCTGTGAGAGACGCTGGGTACTGAGTACTTAGTCTCTTCCCTCAGCAGTCAGAGCTGGGATAGGAAGGAAAGGCCGGCTTGAGTACTGACCAAACCATCTACTGTAACAGCTACATCAGGGACAGGACTCACAGAATGTGGCTCCAGTCCTTTTCCTGTTGCACCAGATAAAATGTGAGACTGGCCAGGTCTATTTAGGTACAATGGATACAAAAACCTATGGCTTTTCTCAGAATTTATAACAATAAGTGGCAAATCAGACAGTAGCATCTAAAGCAGTGGTTCTCAACCTTCATAATTTCTTTAATACAGTTCCTCATGTTGGGGTGAATCCACCCCAAACATAAACGTATTTTGTTGCTGTTTCATAATTTTGCTACTGTTATGAATTGTAATTTAAATATCTGATATGTGACTCCTGTGAGGTCGTGACCCACAGGTTGAAAGCCACTGGACAGCAATATTGCTTGGTTTGAAAATGTCATTCTCTGGGGCGTAGAGAGGTGGCTCAGCGCTTAAAGAGCTCTGACTGCTCTTACAGAGGACCTGGGTTCAATTCTCAGCACCCACATGGCAGCTCCCAACTGCCTGGAACCCCAGTTCTGGGACACCTGACACCCTCACCCAGACATACTTACTTGGAGGCAAAACACCAATGCATATAAAATAAAAATAAATAAATTATTAAAAAAGAATTAAAAGGGTTAATTATATTTAAAAATGTCATTCTCTGGAGCCTCTCAGTTTGGGTAACAAAAACTACTTGTTTATCTATCATCCATGTAAAGTGAGTCCTCTAGATGAAGGAAGGTTTCGGAGGAGTATATAATTCAGTAGTTTTCCTAAACAGATGTTCCCTTAACATAATGGGATTCACAATAGTCTACCCACAGTAGTCTGATAATTACCATGCACTGACTATATTTGTAGCACAGGCTGCTATGAAATGCTGATTTTTAAGTGAGAAACAAACAAAATGAAATAGAAAAACCAAGTGGAAGACTGAGGGAACAGAAAACACTGGGGTGGAGGCCATAAAAACTCTATCTGTATTCCAGCTCTGCCACTTATCCCTCACAAGCATTCTCACTCAGCTTGTCACTGAATCTGTGACAGGCACCAAGGTAAGTGCTGGGGACAGGACGAGGGGAAGGTACTAAATAAGCCATAATCTCTGTCCTGAGATAGCCTTGTACTTGTCAAGCCAATCTACAGGCTCTCAGCTTCCTCACCTGTTCCTGAAAGACAAAAGCATCACCATGTCATCACCAGTAGAATCTCAATGTTGGTACCCTTCAGGTTTTGGAGCTAGTAGCTTGTTATGAAGGGGTTTCTCCGTGTCTTGTCAATGTAGTTTCATCCCTGGCCTTTACCCACTATGGGCCAGCAGCTTCCCACCCCTTGCCAGTAATGACAATCAAAACTCTCTGCACACATTTTCAAATGTCCCCAGGGAATAACATTGCTCCTGTTTGAGAACATCTGAAATAGAGTGACATATGGGAAAACTTTTAAAAGCATAAGACACCAAATCAATTTATGTCAGTATTAATAAAAATCCATTTGTAAGACTATTTGTCAAAAAAAAAAAAACAGACCTTTAAAATTTTACAGTTTCCTTAAGAATGTTTTATTTGCTATTTTTATATATTTTGCCTACCATTAAAAGCCCTTTAGGGCTTTTGGGTGAATTTTTGTTACTCAAACACTGTATCTTCATTACAGCATATTTTTTTAATGTATCACTATGCTAACACCACAGATTCAAATATAATTGCAATCTCTACAAAGCAGAAATTTTATTTTCTTTGTCCAAAATTGCAGTGCTTGTTGCCTACCTTTTAAGGACAAGGGACTGGATCTTGTGAATTCTGCATTTGAAGGCCTGTGCTGTTTATAAATGCCCGCGTACTCCTTAACTCTGGAATCAATGGTTTCTTTTAACAGCAAACAAACTTCCTAAAGTAAATTTAAAACATTAGACATTTCTAGTTTAATGCAATGCAAAGAAGAAAACATTACACACATTGAAAAAGCAAATGCTGGCATTTAGTTAGCTTTTGAACCTAGCTGTGAGTCCTGAAAGGACTTCTGTACAGTCTTTTGGAGTGCACTGCCCATTAAATGCACTATCAAAGACGGCTCCATTACTGATGTTGGCTCACTTTATTTTCTCTCTGCCTCAGTTTCACAATTCCAAAGGGAAGATTTAAAAGCTTACTTCAAAAGCAGGGTGTGACTTAAAGAATGTTTTCATATAAGTGTCAGTCCACTATACTGTGATGGACAGAAGAGAAAAGAAAAATCACATGGAGCTGTCTACACAGGTTCAGCATGGGACTCAGGGGGTACTCAGAGGCAGAATGGAGTGTAAGGACACTTCTACTGTCAGCACAGGTGGCATGGGCAGGATACAGCTGCCACTAGCTCTGGCCCTACTGTCTCACTGCATTGGTGTCCTATTTGCAGATACAGTGTTACCCAATTTTATTTGTATACAAAAAGTCAGAAACAGTAGAAGCTTTCATTTTTCAGCATGGTTCAAATTTATTTTTTATATTTTATTGTTGTGTGAACAACATCATTCATTAGTTCTGGCCTTGGGATTACAAACACAAGAGAGTCAGAGTGGTAGGTTAAAAAGAAGTGGGGAGAGGGTAATGTGATCTTCTCACTCTTATGATGATGCCATAGACCCAACTGCTTTTTAAAAATCACATTAAAATTCTTCAATCATGAATGATGTAGATCATGTCTCTGGTGTAGATTAATGTTATTAGGTAGCAGAACCAGGTTTGAATTCAATTTCAGTATGCTGCATTATTAATAAATTTCTAGAGATATCAGTTGGCATATAATATTTGCAAAGAACAACAACAAAAAATAACTCAGAAATTCAACTGCACAGTAGGTATCAATATTCTCTGAGGTGTCTCCTGCATTGCCAGGAAAATGTAATTTACCATAGCAAATCAGGGGAAACTACAGATGAAACTGAAACTTAATGAGTGATAAATCCTAGATCAATTCCCAACACTTCTGTAGTAGATTCAGAGTTGCTCAGGTCACCTCAAACTTGTTCCACTTGTTTTTCCGAAAGACAATCACAGGTTAATCGTTGAGACTCTTCATAATTACAACATGAACCAGGTTTTTGGTTGCTCATTCTTTTATTGCAAATAACCCTTAAACAGTATATAAAACTCTTGATTTAACACAAACATAGACATTTCTACATAAAATACAAATACCAGTCTCCTCTCTCTTGCTTTTTACTTGCAGCTAAAAGATGCAGTGCTTTGTAGAATATGGAGATATCCATTTACAGCTAAAAGCTTTGGCACAGTTCACAGAACACAAAGGCAGCCTTGCCTCTTACTGTTGTTCTAGCAATTAAATAATTTTTGCTTCACATGCAGGGTTCAGCTATGACTGAGCTAGAAAATATGTGGAAGACACACAAGGCAACAAGGATTGTTAAAATTTGGCCATAAATACCCTATAAGGCTAGAACTAAAAATAGTATGACAAAAATAGAGCCCATACACATGAAGTTTCTCACTATACTCCAAGCGTTCCTTATGGGAACCAGGTTTCAAGAATTAAAGATGGGCACTGTGCAGAGATGACTGATACCTAAGAACCAACTGTGCTAGGCTTGGTAAAGCATCCTCTTCAGACCTAGAGCAACACAGGAGAAGAAAACAGCCAGCAAGATCTGAGAGGATGGTGAGAGGACCAAGTAAAAATCCACAAGTGAGAGGAAGACAGGCACAGACTCCCTATGTAACAGGGGTTCCTGTTTGCTCCCTAGTTTATAAATGGGACAACTTCAGTTTGTTTCTTTGAGTCCAAAGACTACATGAGCTGGACTCAAGTGAAACATGTTTAAATATATGAATCAAGTCCTCTTTCCATACAAAGTAACTGCTAAAATGCAATAAAACTACATGTTTATGAAACCCCAATCATGAGATAATCTAAAGATTAAAAACAGGGAAGCACTAACTTAACATATGTGAAATCATAACCTTTCTTCAAGTCTCCTTTTGAAGACACAGAAAGAAATTATCTCTGACTAACTCTAAAATCAGTGAACACATATTGAAGGAACAGCAAACTATCAACTTTACTTTGAGGAAAGCTCAGCTTGGGAGAGTAAGCAGACCTCTTACAGTCACCACTGAAGCAGCTCTCTACAAGTCCCATCATGCACCTCTGCTAAGTCATGCCTCACTGCTCTGGAGTAGGCCCTGTTGGAACAACACGGCTGCACGTGGCACCTTGACAAGAAATCTAGCCTCATGCTTTCCAGAGGAGGTGATTCACATCATCTTGGCTCTAGAACATTCCATATCAACCATTTCTTGGCCCAAACTGCCTAAATATCAACATTAAAGAACATGGGAAAGTTGGGTCTGAAATGGTGCATTTGAGAACCTTTCAGAAGTCATTAGGGTAAGATCCTTTGTATGAAATACTATTCACTTTGGTGGAATGAATGCACTAATTTGAATCATATGGGCATGTGTTAGTGACCTAAAATTTGAGATTATAAGAAGGAGAATAGTGTTGAAAAGTCCTGACCTGCTAAATATAAAGTCCTCAAGAAGACAGCCCATTATCAATTCCCTTAATGATAAATTCATCATAGGAAGCCTTGTGTCTTCTTCTCAGCATTGGGCCACTAGGTATCCTTGCAAAATAAATGACCACAAAGTACTGGTAGTATTATCATTTGACTGAAAATGTATTGTTAAAAATAATTTATGGGTTGGTACGTTAGTTTTAGCAAGGTAAACAAATGATCACAAATAGCATTTCCCCTCTACTGTTACTAGTTTCACTACTATTACTGCTTAATACAATTTATTTTTATTTACTTCTCTAAAAGTAACAGCTGATAAATACTATCAGGGAAATGAAGAACAGTCTGTTTTAAACGTTTTTAAATTACATTTACTCATTTACTTGTAATGTACATGTGTTGTGTGGGCACACACATGACATGGCGTAGATGTGGAGGTCAGAAGACGACTTACAGGAGTTGTTTCTCTCCTTCCACCTTTGCCCGTCCTGGGAATTGAAGTCAGGTCATGGTGGGTTGCAGGCACCTTTACCCACAGAGCCACCCAGCTGGCCTGCTTTGAAGCTTTTGATCAGGACAGCTCCCTGATATCCACAGAAGGAAACAATGATTCTCCACCACAAGGGCTCACAGAGAGGGAATTGAAACCACAGGAGACTGAAGCCTTATCTTTGAAGACAGAGGAAGCAGAAGCTTCTGGGGAGCTCAAATATCCTAGAATCAAACCTTGCAAACCATGAGGAGAAGCACACGTGAGAAACTCGAGGATAATTGGCGGCTCTCCTGTAACTTAACTACTGATAACTGTTTCCTTTTGTTGTTGTTGTTGTTGTTTTGGTTTTGGTTTTTAATTTTGATTTTTATGTGTGTGTGTGTATGTGTATGTATGTGCTGGGAAGTTATCTTGGGTCCCCAGGAATGAGTCATCTCTTTAATAAATAGTTAACTATTGACTGGAAAGCCTTTCTATTAGGAAAAAAGTAATTAAGTGACACATTTTCTATTTTAGATGCATTATATATTGTTAAAAAATACTTAGGAATGGTTGAGATTTTTTGTTTACTCTGGCATACAATTTAGTAGGAAGACAAACTGCTCATGGCAACAGTGGCTCATCCAGTTTTAGGCTAGCCCTCACATCTGAGGTCACTCTGAAGCTTAATCAGCTGAGCAAATTTTCGTAGTAAACAGTAAAATAATTACATTTTACTTAAACATTTCAATATTTCTAGGCTATGAAGTTCACCCACAGGTTTTTTTTTTTTCTTTCAAATTCTCCTAAAATGTCACACATTAGCAGAGCAGACCTACATACTCCAGACCTGTGTTGTTCACAGCCAACCCACCCATGCCAACTATCTGCTTTACCGGCTGGCCAACAGCAGAGCAGGGAGACTGAAGTTCCTCTTCACTTGTCAAAGTCTTATGACAATGAAAAGAGGTGAAGATGAAAGTAAGGATTAATACAGATGTGGAGATTAGCCTTGCGTATCTTCCACACCTGCTCCAGGTGCTGCCAGCCTTCTCATCACTCAGATCAAAATCCCTGCTTGCTTGGAATAGTTTGTCTTCTTTTTACTCCCTTTTTACTATAGAGAATCATTTTCCCTAAAGGGGGATTAGAATTTTTGGTTTAAATAACAGAGCCTGGGATGAGGACATAGAGATGGTGAAGTACCTACCAAGCATGTAAAGGTCCTAGAGTCAATCCCTAACACCACATGCATACACACACACACACACACACACACACACACACACACACCACCCAGGTCAACAATAGATTAGCATATAAAACATATGGCTATGTCAGTTTCTTAAGGGCAGAGATGTATGCTTGTCACTGGGCATACTCCTACTTCTCAGTAGTTAATTGTCACTCAACTTTTTAAAAAATCCTTAATGAAAATGAAAGTAGAGAAAAGTTGACATTTCTTGTAGCAGGTACACAAGAAACAGTGTTTAAAGAGCAAAACTTTTTGTTGTACCTCTTTCTTCTGTTCAGAAAACCAACTGGAATCTTTGTTTGAACCTTGTGGCACTATATGAAGATCCACGAGGACAGCAAAATTTCCACACTGAAAGAGAAGGCATCAAGATTTATTAATGGTAGACTATGTCTGCGGCTCATGCCCAGTAGACAACTGCAAAGAATCTCTCAAACTCCACACACAAGAAAATAGCAACAAAATCTCTCCTGGATGGAATCTCAGCATGGCTACTACTGTTCACATGTTCATATTTATAGTGGAAATTCTAAGAAGAAATATAGGCTTAGCTTGGATACAAGTGACAAAATAACTGTCTCTAGACTACAACTTGAAAGGGGCAAACCAGAACTCTCAGTGGCAGCTGGAAGTCTTCCAGAGAAGTTGAACAGGGCAGTGCTAGGTAGACTTCAGACAAGAACAATTCTGCACAGAGCCAGGGTCATTCTTTCTCCTCAGTAGTAAAGAATCTGTGTACGCTATTGCCTTTTGATAAGGAGTTAGCTGGACTGAAGAGCTTAGACCAGAAATCAAAATATGGCTATTGTGGCTTACTGACATTTTAATTTTATTTAAAATAAATTTATAGCTCTATGTAGCTATGGTCTGCATGGGATATGGATCTCACAAAAAGATGTAGCCAGGCTACAGAGATGGCTTGGTGGGGAAAGAGCCTAGTATGCAAGCATGAGTACCAGCTCTGATATATACTTCAAGTCTCTGCGCTAGAAGGGCAGAGACACACTGATTCCAGAAACTTACTGGCCAGTTAGTCAAACTGAAACGGCAAGCTCCAGGTTCAATAAGAGACCCTGTCTCAAAAACATGAAGTGAAGATCAAGGGAGGAAGATGCTGACCTCTGGCTTCATGTAGGAACTCATGCTAGGGAGACTGCAGTGGAGCACACATGCATGCACATACACACGTGCTCGGGAGTGCATGCCCACGAGTGCGCACCCCCCCCCCCCCACACACACACACAAGCTGTAAATTTACAAATCTTCACACCTCATAGTCATTGCTGAGATTCCCAAGATAAGGTAAACAAACATCACGGAAAGGAAAGAATGTACAACCAAGACCATAGGTTGAGCATGTCCAAGAGGCCCAGAGATTCAGTCAATAGTCCTGTAGGAAAGTCCCTTTTATAAATCTCTAAGGTCTTTAATTTCATTTATAAACTTTTATGAAAACATGGTGAAAGCAGATTTAAACAAATGGTGCTAGAGAATCAGATACAAAGACAGAAAGAAAGTGGGACTCAACTGCATCTACCTCACTACCAGACACAAAATGTAATTTGAGATGGTTTATATACTTAAGCATGAAAACCAAAAACCATTATTCTCATTATAAGGGCAGGAAAGTATCTCTTATGAATGATCTAGAAAATGTGAAACATTGAAGGAAAAATTGTTGATTAACCTGGACAGGAAAATAAACTAGTTCTAGTCTAGTCACACAATGGAATGGCATTCACCAAAATGTTGACACAGTCACAATGAATGGACTTGTCTCCAAAGCAGAATGAGCTAAGGAGGCCATACCAATGGATGCCTACTGTATGGCTCCATGTCAGCAAGTTCTAAACAGCAAGAGCCATGTGTGGTGAAGTGCCAGGGTAGTGCCTCTGAGGCATATGAAGAAGCCAAATGTCATGACAGGAATATGTTGTGACCTGAAGGGAATCTTGGCTGTACAACCTAAAAGCAGTTCTTCTCTTCTCACCACTAATAAACAATTTTAAAATATAAGTATTGAAGTTTAAGAAAAGCGGCTCAAGGGAGAAAGACATCATGCAACAGAGTTCAAGCAGAGGGGTTTTTATTAGGGAAAAAGAACTGTAAAAAGGAGGAAAGGGGAGAGGGGAGACCTGTCTCCAGAGACAGGAGCAGCAGGAGAGAGGAAAGAAGCACAGACAGGGGTGTGGGAGGGGAGGTGGGCAGGGCCCTTTTAAAAGGAAACATAGTGAATATACACAGGTGGTGCTCTTTGTGGCTGCAGTTGAGGGCCTATCCTGTCTGAACCCCATGAACAGGATAGTGCAGACGCCCAAGTACTAACAGTAAGTATGATGTCTGAATTTGTGTGTCTATTATATGGCCTCTTATGACGCCAGTGTACTGTGGCTGTCTGAATGCAACTTAGTTTGATGCATCTAGAATTTTATTTTAATTAAAGAGATCTAAGAGAATATTAGAAAGCCATGGTAAGATTGAGAACTGCTTTGTGAAATGCAAGTCTGTGTATGAGTGATGATGAAAGGCCAATTTCTTTTTGTGGGCTGTAGTAAAAAAAAAGTTTGAAAACCATACTCAAGTATATTGTTATACTTAGAATTTCCTCCCAATTGTTGATTACAGACCTACCCTTTCAGGAGTATGCTGCCACCAGGAGGTCATATGCCACAACTACAAGACCTTAGCTGGGGGATATTAACATTTTGTGTGCCATGCATTTTTCTTTAGCCAACTGAAAATCTGATAAAACTGTTCCTAGAATGTTTTATAAATACATAAAATATAACATATGGGATTTAAAAAACATGACTACATTGAAGTACATTTATCAAAATCTTAAAAAGCGACCCCAAATTTGTGGTACAGTAATATCTGAGTGTTTTGCAGGCGATGATTTGTATCACAAACTGATGGATCCCGTGACAACAGCAAACTGAAGGCAGTAAAGCACTTCTCTGGCATTTTCAGAGAATCTGCAACATCTCTAACCACAAAGAGTTGTGATTTCTAACGGCCGGCCACTAGCACTGCTAAAACCGCTGTGTTGTGAATCCTACAGTAATAATAACTTGGTCCAGTAACTCACCCAATGAAGCATAAGCCTCAATCTGGAGTCTTCTCACACCCCAGTCTATGCTTGATTATAGATTAATTAGGTTTTTATTTCTTTAAATAAATAAATTCTCAATGCTTACACTGGCAATGTAAGAGAGAACTTTCCTAGGTTTCTAGAAGATTCTGTGCTGGAAGGTTCTCCCTGGGCAGCCAGGAAGCCTTGGTTCTCTATAGCAGGAGCTTAGCTATCTACACTAATCAGGAGTATTGTGCCTTCTAAAATTCTCTGCTTTCAAAGCTCCACTTTTTTCCTCCCATGAATAAACTGAGGTGAACAAAATAGGTTTCTGAGCACAGTAGGCAGCACAGCCTCCCTGTCTCCTCAACCTTAATTAGGAGGTTGTTTCTACTTTCAGAAAAAAACACTGCAGTTCTCTTCAGGACAGGAAGCATGGGAACCATCACTTCTTCCACAGGCCAGAGCCCATCATTAGAAGTGAATCCAGGGGCTATGAGAAATAGCTTCAAATCCCATGCAAGGGGGTTGTGCATACACAGGCCAGGGCCCTTTCTCACTTTCACCCCTTCATCTAGAGGTGGCAGTCCAAACCCTGGGAGATATCCCAACATTGCCTTTCCCTAGTACTCGTGAATAGGTCACCTCATCTTGCAAGTTTCGTTTTTTGGATGAATGCTCAGACATCCATCCACTCTTGTTCTACTGTTCATAGCATCCCCACACTTAGACTATCAGAGTCTTTCCTAGTGGTATCCCACATGAACTTTTAATGTTGTCAACAGGGCACCCCTGTTCTAGCTAAGCCTGCAGTCCAAGTCTTTCACCAGGCCTCACTACTGTTTCTCAATGTGTGGTGGGCTCTTCCACTACACTCCAAGCCCACCAGAGGCATAGCGAGATCTAGGAAGCTTTTCTGAACAGTTTATCTGTCTCCTCTGGATCAGACACATTCTTTAAGTGCTTTATAGACTTCTGCATTAAATGACTGGGCTGTGGAGGAGAGATGCGTGCTGGAACATGAGCTCCAGTAGAAATGGGTCCATACCCAGGTTGATTCTAAATCCCCCCTGATTAGCACCCTAGTAGTCCATGAACATGCTTCCTATTTAGTAGCAGGAAGAAAGAACACAAGCTCGAACAAACTGCCCTAGTTTTGGGCAGGGACAGGGCTCTAAAGCCCAATGTACGGATGAACCTTCTTTTCTCCTTATTCTGTACAGATAACAACTAACGTTACCAGTGGTAACAGTTATTTTTTCAAAATTTAAAGTACAAAGATCCTGGGACTACCTGGCCATAAACCCAATGCCAGACAAGCATATTGGTTACTTCATCTACTGCATCCCTAAGAATGTCAGAGGTGTAACTCTATGTTGTGCTTTCTCTCTGAGTCTTTAGAGGAGACCTTGTCTTCTGACTTTATGTAAGTATAACAGAGAAGTGAAACTGTTAGCATTGTCTTACCATGAAAACCAACACAGACCACAGAGGTAGAAGGGTTTGCACATTGTCTGAATCCCTTTAACAGAGGAGCACAGCAACGTAGTACTACAGCACATATCACACCCGCATGGCCCCATCCCCCCAGTGTTCACTCTAGAACCAGAGGTAGCAGAGTGAAGGTCCTGCCTGGGAGCTGCTGACTCAATGAACCTCATGGAACAGCAAGCTGTGGAGAAAAAAAAAACAAACCCACAGTATTCAGAAAGAGGGGCCCCATTAGTTCTGTATGCTTGTCTCATAATTCTCATAATGCAGATACATGTCAACACATGACACACTAACAGGCCCGGAGCCCTGGTTGGGCAGAAGGAGCAAGGGACTGGTAGGCTGGAAAGCTCTCTGAGGCAGGAGAGAGGAGCATGGCAGGCAGTAGAAACCAGAGCCAAGCAGACATGTTTAAACCCAACTGCACAAAGAAGACAGGAGGGAAGGCCATGCCGAGGGGTTGAGGAGACCTCTTAGGCATCAGTTTTCCTATATGTGAAATAAGAGAATCTATCCTGTCTCCTTCAAAGACTTCCACTCACAGATCCCACCTCTCTGGTTGTCTATATTCTTGTTTCTATCTGTCCACATAATGCAAATTCTTCTG